CCGGAGGGTGGGGCCCGGAGGGCCCGTTCATGGCGGGCCGTCACAGCCGTCAACCGATGGGATGAATGATGTGATCGGGTGACAGGAGTGTGACGCTCGAGCCCCGCCTTCCCAGCCACAGGATGGGCAGTTTTGGCTCAGGGCTGTGTGTGGACCAAGCAAGGCCCTCAGCACCGCTTGCGTGCCTTGGGCTGGCCGGCTGCCCAGCAGGGCCTCGGTTTCCCTGGCACTGGTCGTCCTGGTCCGAGTCAACTGATCTCTCATTTCCGACACGTCCTCACTGCTCAGGTCCTGCCTCGCAGTTCTTTTCTTCTAATTTACCCGCAGAACGACACCTCCCATTAACTGTACGGGTCACTCGCCCCGTCCTCCCACTCAGTCCTGGGCTTTGCTGGCCCCTGCTTTGTTCTGACTTCCAAAGAGCCCAGTGTTACCTGCGCGTGTTGGAAGGTTCCGGTTTACATCCCAGGCTGCTGGTCATTTCTTTTTTTTTTCTTTTGGTAAATATGTAGATGTCTTTTATTTGTCAAGAATAAATGTCAGTTTTTTTAGAACAGTCAAGTACAAAAAATGAGTGAATTTTATATGCCTATGGCTTAAGAAAAGTTAGAAACTATCAAACATTCTGAGGGTACTGAGGCACTAAATGCAGAAATCCCCTGAATTATCTGAATGTTTGTGTTCAATATTCAGATATGCAGTTGCTTTCTTTGGATGCTGAAATATTTTAATGAAATGATTCAAGGCTATTTTCCCCCTGGAAGACAGAGTTTAAGCCAACAGATATGCAATACATTCCAATGAAATTAGTGTGACGCACTCGAGGTCAAAGAGCAAAGGGTTTCTACACCTGGTTTCTCTACCTATACTTTAAAATGGTTGTTTGGGCACAGCAATGTATCAACCCCAGGAAGGCACGGTGAAGCACAGTCTTCATGTCACAGGGCCCGAGAATCTCTCAGAGCACTACCTACTGGGTAACACAGCAACCGTTAGAAAGCTCCATAAAACTACAGGGAGGTTAGAGTGTTAGCTCACAATACATTCCAAACACAGTCAGATTCTTCCTTAAGTTTATATTAAAAAAGGCTCACCTAGACTATAAATGCAATCAGAAGCGTAACGTGAATGCGTTCTGATCTCAATGACACGGGGACTTTGCTCTTTGGCTTAATACTTAGCAAAGTCGCAGTAATTTGGCAGCAGAAAAGATTCACGCTCACTGAAAAACAGCCACTGAGAATTCCCTAGCAGTGATTACTCAGCAGTGTCATTTACATAAGGATTCTGCATAGCTCTTACTTCGCTCCAAAGTGCTCTTCCATGAATGTCAGTAACTGGCCATTTGCCAGGCACGAAATAAGTAATAAAGCAAATAAAGACAGCAAGAAAATCAAAGCACATTTCTAACTTTTTAATAACTTCTGCTTGTGATGACCTTCTGTGCCTTGGAACTTCTGGTTTACATAAAATTAGGGTTCTTGCGGTCCTTTTCCAGGTTGCTACCCGATGCCATATAGGGCTGGTTCTGGAATATCTCAGAGGTAGCTTTCTTTTTAGAGAAAGCGATGATTTCTTCTTCCAAACATTTTCTCTTCTCTTCAAGCTTCATTCTCTCTTCCTGATGAACTCTTTTAAGGTGCTCGAATTTGGCCTGCAGCTCTCTTTCAGCTTCTTTCAAAATGGCTTCTTTTTCCTTTACTCGCTGGACAAACATCTGCTTCATTTCCTCTTCCTTCCTTTGCCGTTCACCATAAAATTCATGTCTTTTGGCTTCATAAGTCTCCTGGAGACTGACCGGCTTGTTCTCGGGGCCCACGTCTGCGAAGCCCATCTCCAGCTTGCAGCGCCGGTACAGCTCCCAGTGCCTGGCGTGGGTCTGCTCCCCCAGGGCC